ATCTCAAGAAATGTTTTTTATTTCATTTTGTAATAATTTTAATTTAAATTTGTTTATATCTTACCCCATAAATATTTTATTACATTAAATTAACTTTTATCTTGCATATTTTTGTATCTTCCATCAAAGTAGCCCAGTATCATCAAGTAGTGGATCATTTCGTAAACTGCATAGTGTCCTATCCTTTCTTACTCAACCTCTTCTCCCTTTGTCATTTTCAAATTTAGATGAAGATAAAGTTTCCCAACTATATGTCGAGTTGGAGCTAGCTCCCTCTGATGCTGTGAAGAGAGGGTCTGAAGCCGGAGACGATCTATTTGCCCTGTGGCTGGAATCTTGGCGAAGCGAATTCTTTCCGGTGGCCGAGGACCTGTTGATCCATTTGACTGGCTAGATGATCATCATCAATCAGGCCCTTCAGGTTGCTTAATCCTGTCCAGATACTCGAGGCCTGATTGATCTTGGCCTAATTATGTGTCGTTTCACTTGTCTTAAAAAGGTGCACACCTCTTGGGCTTTAACACCACAGCCATCTGAATGAATTGCTCGAGTTTCCTCTTCTCTAATCAAAGCTAAGCCCATTCCACCATCGCTTTCGATTTACCAACTGCTGGCTAAGAGTGAATACTACTTTTGCTACAATTTTAACACCAACATAGAGTTATTTTTATTGCTTTCGTCATCATTGTCATTGCCAATCCCTGCTGCTTCTCCAGTCATCTTTGACCCATGCTCACTTCATTTTGCTTAGTATGTCATCCTACACCGTTTTAGCTGCTTTCCAGCAGTCCTATTCAACACAGCTCGTAGCCTATCTTATTCAACTTGACCAGATCGTAACTACGGCTTCTTACTTGGATCACCACATTTTAGAGCATCTCCTAAATTGGTATTCATGTATTCTAACATTCCCACCTTAGTGTCCTTTATTTGGACACACCACCAGTCTGTATGCTCCGGCATACTTTCAACAGATCACTAGTCATATTTGGCTGTCTTTTCATTTATACCTCTATTCATCCACTGTCTGCGTTTGACCCACCCTTGAAACTTTCGTTTCTGCCTTCCCAACTTGCCTATGCTTCCTCTGTCAGATCGAGGCCTTACTGCTGTCAAGTGTAGAAAAAATAACTTACATTAATGCCTTATTACTTGGCCACTCGTATAGGCCTACGTTGATATTTGTTTTACAGTCCAAAGATGTAAACTGCTGTTCCCCTTCATTCGTTGCCTGCATTGTGTCCCGCGGATTTTACTTTGATCTTCTCTTCTATCGCCTCAACCAGGTGGATACCAACTATGAGCGCTATAATTCGAACCTCGTCTAACTAAGTTCCAATGCTGCTTTGAGTTATTTGCCCGCGGTATGTCACTTTTTACTGCTTTGCTTCAGATTCACTTGGGCTTTTCTTGCAGCCCCCAGAGTCGTATCACATCTTCTTCTCTGCTCGATCGAGAGGCGAGAGAGTGGGAGATAGAGGGTGAGAGAGAGCTAATAATGGACTCTTTTTGGCGATATCTCGGAATCTCAGACATCATTCATGAGTTTCTGTAAATATTTATTTTCTTACTTTAATCAACTGTCCTGTCACATCAATCTTCCTTTAGGTAAGAATAATTCACAATACATATTTTTCCGTCAACAATCTATCAGATTTGGATCCAGATAAACATCACACAGTCGTAATACAACCTGTCTCGTTTGTTTTTTTTAATTTATAAATAATGACTGGGTTTCGATAAGTCTCTTCAGATAACATTGTAGTGGAAACTTTCATTTCGCATGCATGAGGAACAGACCTGTTTGTTGATCTCACCGGAGGAAGACGGCCGATTCCCGTCCTGTAATCGTTTGGCTTTAATACGACGTTCATATGAACACAGTTCACGAGACATCCTTCCTCGTTTCGAGTGAAAGCGGGCTATGCTTTCGTCCATTATATTTTTTACATCGTCAGAGCTGGAACTCATTTTTATAAAAGTTTTAATTCAACACTAGGTCAAGAGGACTGTCCGGCTCTTTTTTTATGCTTTGTATATACTCATAACTAAAAAGGAAAAAATATACATATTTAGATAGGTAAATATAAAATAAATTGATTTGTTCTCTTTCATATTTGTTGTATGTATATATATATATATATATATATAGTTTTAATCACATTACTTATACTTGGGTCTCTGTGAGTGTGTCAA